AGATTGTACGCCCCTTGAGGGTTAGGGACCTTAGATTGTACGCCCCTTGAGGGTTAGGGACCTTAGATTGTACGCCCCTTGAGGGTTAGGGACCTTAGATTGTACGCCCCTTGAGGGTTAGGGACCTTAGATTGTACGCCCCTTGAGGGTTAGGGACCTTAGATTGTACGCCCCTTGAGGGTTAGGGACCTTAGATTGTACGCCCCTTGAGGGTCAAGGACCTTAGATTGTACGCCCCTTGAGGGTCAGGGACTGATGTGAATGTACAATATATATGTAAAGTGCTGTGTAAATTGACGGCGCTATATAAGTACCTGAAATAAATAAATAAGTGGAAGAATACCTATCCTGCAGCTCTGTGTAAGGGAGCGATCGACAATGGCTCTGAATTCCTAAGAGCTGCAGCATCACCCATTGACTGACTGGTGCTGTCAATCAAATCCCTGTAAGGAGGCAGTGGGGGTGTGGCTTGCTGGCACTGTGTGCGACTATGGTCACGCACACAGCTTGGCTCGAGAGCCTGCATGCATGGGAACCTCCTCAGCAGCCAGCTTGTTACAGAGGGAAGGGGGAGCAGACAGTGACAGGAAGAGGAGGTGGGTGACCTTTCTACTCAATATTGTTGTACAGCGCAAATATAACCCCTCCTTTTTTTTTTTCATTATAAAAAGACTATCAATTTAAAAAGTTAAAGCTTATACAAGTAGTTTTTACTGATTGGTTTGACATCTGCTTTCCACTGTTTCCCTAAATTTTACATCAGCATTACTCTCTATATACAATTTTTATTTTACAAAATAAACATTTACGACAAGGCAAAGAAGGGAACTGCATGCAGAGATTCCCAGGAATCCCTAAATTTACCTAAATTTTATATCAGCATTACTGATTTTTTACAAATAAACATTTATGACAAGGTAAAGGATTCCCAAAGCACTATGGATAGCTTATGGACAGCACAACTGATGAAAACTTGCTTTGCAGTTCCCTTCCTTTTGCTAGAGTTATAACTAAAAAAAACTATTTATGTTTTGTTTTTTTTAAAGTCGAACTATAATAAAGAAAATGTGTGCAAAAATATACATAAACATTTACATATCTGAATGGGCGTTCTTTAGGGCAATGAAAAAAGAAGGGAACTGCATGCAGAGATTCCCAGGAATCTCTAAATTTCCCTAAATTTTATATCAGCATTACTGATTTTACAAATTTTACAAATAAACATTTATGACAAGGCAAAGGATTCCCAAAGCACTATGGATAGCTTATGGACAGCACAACTGATGCAACTTCCCAGGAATCTCTAAATTTCCCTAAATTTTATATCAGCATTACTGATTTTACAAATTTTACAAATAAACATTTATGACAAGGCAAAGGATTCCCAAAGCACTATGGATAGCTTATGGACAGCACAACTGATGCAACTTCCCAGGAATCTCTAAATTTCCCTAAATTTTATATCAGCATTACTGATTTTACAAATACAAATACAACTTGCTTTGCAGTTCCCTTCCTTTTGCTAGAGTTATCACGAAAAAAAAAAATGTTTTTTCATGTTTTTTTTTTTTTGTTTGTTTTTAAAGTCTAACCATAATTAGGAAAACGTGTGCAAAACTATACACAAAACTCTACATATCTGAATGGGCGTTCTTTAGCCACTTGCCTACCGGGCACTTATACCCCCTTCCTTACCAGGCCAATTTTCAGCTTTCAGCGCTGCCGCACTTTGATTGACAATTGCGCGGTCATGCAACATTGTACCCATATGAAATTTTGATCATTTTTTTCTCACAAATAGAGCTTTCTTTTGGTGGTATTTAATCGCCACTGGGCGCTTTACTTTTTGCGCTATAAATTAAAAAAGTGCAAAAAATTTGAAAAAAAAAAAAAAGTTTATTTGTTTCTTTTATAAAATTTTTCAAACAGGTATTTTTTCTCCTTCACTGATTTGCGTTGATGAGGCGGCACTGATGGGCACTGATAGGCGGTACTGATGGGCACTGATAGGCAGCACTAAAGGGCACTGATAGGCAGTACTAATGAGGTGGCACGGATAGGCGGCACTGATAGACAGCACTAATTAGGGGTCACGGATAGGCGGCACTGATATGCAGCACTGATAGGCGGCACTGATAGGTGACACTGATGATGGGTACTGATAGACGGCACTGACTGGCATCACTTCTGGGCACTGACTGGCGGCACTGACTGGCACAACCCCTGGGCACTGACTGGTGGCACTGACTGGCAGCACTGCTGGGCTGCACTGGTGGGTGGCACTGGTAGGCAGCACTGGTGGGTGGGCACAGGTGGGTGGCACTGGTGGGCACAGGTGGGTGGCACTGGTGGGCACAGGTGGGTGGGCACAGGTGGGTGGCACTGCTGGGCACATGTAGGTGGCACTTCTGGGCACAGGTAGGTGGCACTGCAGAGTGGCACAGGTGGGGGCACTGCTGGGCACAGGTGGGGGCACTGCTGGGAACGGGTGGGCGGGGCTAGTGGGCGCACTGCTGGGCGGAACTTGCGGGTGTCACTGCTGGGCACCGATCATCAGGGCACTGATCATCAGTGCCCTGATGATCGGTGCCGATCCCCGCTCTGACAACTGCCGGTTCTCGGCAGTACTTTCCTCACGATCTGACAGCGTGAGGAAAGTGCAGCCAAGAACCGGCACTTGCATTTCCCTGTGATCAGCGTGTCATTGGACACCGCTGATCACGTGGTAAAAGGCAGGTGGGATCGGCCTTTCACCACATCACGTGATCAGCTGTGTCCGTAGGACACAGCGATCACGGAGATCGCCGGGTGCGCGCCGAGAGCGCGTTCTGGGAGGACGTCATATGACGTCCACTCAGAACTGGCCGGCCGCGGTGAAGCCGTCATTCGGCTATGCACGGTCGGCAAGAGGTTAGGGGAATGCAAGAAGAAGGGAACTGCATGCAGAGAGTCCCAGGAATCTCTAAATTTCCCTAAATTTTATGACATTTATGACAAGGCAAAGGATTCTCAAAGCACTATGGATAGCTTATGGACAGCACAACTGATGAAACTTGCTTTACAGCTCCCTTCCTTTTGAGTTATCACTAGAAAAAATTTTCATGTTTTTTTTTTTTTTAAGTCTAACCATAATTAGGAAAATGTTTGAAAAACTATACACACATATCTACATATCTGAATGGGCGATCTTGTTTAGGGCAATGAAAGAAGAAGGGAACTGCATGCAGAGATTCCCAGGAATCTCTAAATTTCACTAAATTTTATATCAGCATTACTGATTTTACAAATTTTACAAATAAACATTTATGACAAGGCAAAGGATTCCCAAAGCACTATGGATAGCTTATGGACAGCACAAATGATGCAACTTCCCAGGAATCTCTAAATTTCCCTAAATTTTATATCAGCATTACTGATTTTACAAATACAACTTGCTTTGCAGCTCCCTTCCTTTTGCTAGAGTTATCTTGAAAAAAAAATGTCATTTTTTTTTTTTTTTTTGTTTTTTGTTTTAAAGTCTAACCATAATTAGGAAAAATGTGTGCAAAACTATACACACATATCTACAGATCTGGATCGATGTTCTTGTTTAGGGCAATGAAAGAAGAAGGGAACTGCATGCAGAGATTCCCAGGAAAAGAAGCAGAAGTCATGAACGGTTTTCTAATCTACTTGAAGCAGAACTAAAGACAAACCTTTGAGCCATTTTGGATAAAGTAAGGGAGGGTCAGATGTTTTCCCATTGAGAAGTTTTCCTCTCATTTCCTGTCTCATAGCCAAAACAGGAAGTGAGAGGAAATCCCTCCGAAGTGAGGGAATCCCTGGCTGTCCCCATTTGAAGATTTCAATTTTATTCCTGTCAACCCAAAATTTGGGATTTTCTTTCACGTTCACTCATGCAATAACTTAGCTCTGAGGAAGTGAGTTCAACTCCCGAAACGCGTTAGCACTTTCCACTACTTGGGACCGTCCATTGTGGCTCTCTCTCTCTCTCTGTTTTTATGACCTATTGGTTTGCGAGTATCCATTTGTTTTTATCACAATAAATTTCTTTGATTCATGGTAATCCACGAGGGGGGTGCGCCCTCTTTTTATTCTTTTTTACTCATGTGCTAAATTGGGAGGGTGACACAGACAGCAATAATACCCGATGGGTTCTAGTCCCTCCCCAATCTAAAACTAAAAAAATACTTTTGCCTCCACTAAGTTGGGAGTAGCCTCTAGGAAAGGTGTCAGGGTCCTGTCCACGGCAGAAGTTCTGGAAGATCTGGCATTTCTGCCAGTACTCTGCATGGCCGCAGAAGTACACATCAGCCTCAGTTTGGTGCCAGACGGCCTTTATAAGGAGGTTCATCACTTCCTCTAGTTGCTGGATGATCTCTAGCTCCCCGTGCCCTGTTCCTGGTTCCTGTTTCCTGTGATTCTGACCTGTGATTTCCTGTTACTGACTCGGCTTGCTCATGGACCGGTCTACTCTGATTTACCCCTGATCTGACCTCGGCTTACGGATACTCTCTCTCTCCTCTGTGTATGACCTCGGCTATCCCATCTGACTACGTTTGTTCTGATTCCCACCTGTACCTGACCTTGGCTTGAACCGGCTACCCAGTAAACACCTAAATCCCGAAAGGGCTTACATACCATGCACAGGCGCCTCCTGTCTGCAGACCTATCTCCGTGCACCAGCTGTGCTTCTGAGTGGACCACCAACCAGCACTCCTACAGGTGACCTGTGCAACTTTGGGCCTGACTCCCGCTGCCCCACTCTCAGGGGAGTCCGGAACTTAGCCGCAAGGGAAGCCCTCTCTCCATTGGCCTCCATCACCAGGTACGTGATAAAAGGTTTCATGTACGAGTCTGATCATTTCTACCCTGCTAACAGGAAAAGAAGAAGCTGAGTGGTTGATAGGAAGGTAAAGGGGAACGTACCACCAGCACAAATCCCGGACGAGCCCCCAAGCTGCCTGCACACAAGATCGTTGGACCTCCCCATTACTCACTTTCCCTGATGTTCCTGCAGGACCTGGTAGATGCTAATCTGGAAGGTCTCATTGTCGAATCTCTCTTGAATATAGTCTTTATATATCCTGAATTCGGCTGCCGTTACTGCCTCTCCTTCGGGAATTTTGGCCAGGTCAAACCGGAACTCTCGATGGTGGCGTCTTTGGTGAAAGAATTCCTTGTCGTGTTCCACTGAAAGAGCAAACACATGAGATTGGACTCATATTACTTCCGATGTATGTCAACCAGCAAGCTTACAGAAAATAGATGTGGTAAATAGACGAATGTGCCCAAACATACACGCAAACTACAATCTGACAATCAGCTGGTTTTTTTTCCTGACCAAAAATTTCACAATTTGTTGATACTTAGACAGCAACACAACTGCATGTTTGAGTGGAGTGTGGGTCATGCTTTTATTGCCGTCTGTGTCCATCCTAGGGAACATTTATCCTCTCTGTCCTGGTGACTATTATCGATTATTCGATGCTACAGTTGTCACCAGAACAGGAAGTCAGAGGGCATCTTTCAAATGGTGACACCTGTCTATGTTGGGACTTCTTGTCACTTTGGAGAGATTTCCATTCATTTCCTCATGCGTCTCTAGGACAGGAACCGAGGGTAAATGATCCCAATGAGGCACAGACAGCTACTCTTTTACAATGTATCTAAAAATAAAAGAAATTTATATCAGTTGAAGATACACTTTAATTCCTTCCTGTCTGCCCCTGCATCCTTTAACCAGTTTGGACCACACGGGTGGCGGGAAGGATCGGCGATCATGTGACCACAGTGCTCACATGACTGGAAGCTGGTCCCGCAGGCTACCGACCTTTAGCCTGGAAGGGCTAAGGTATAACTATAGGCAAAACGTTTTTCCATTTTGGATGCAAGGGTCTTTTTTTTTTTTGCAAGTGGCAAGCTGCTCCACAAAAGATACTGCGGCCATGTTTTTCGGTTTGCTCTGTTGTTTCAGCATCCCATTTCAAATAAATGTACTTACAAATGAACATACAATGTAACATAGGTGCAGACAGGTGGGAATGGGCACCTATCTGAGGCCTGCTTTCTATGTCATGCCTATGAAGTAACCGCAGACACCACTTACCAAAGCTTTTAGAAGAAAAATATGAGTTCACATAGGCCAGACATAGTGAAGACCACGCTTGTTTAATACCCCCGTTGACAAATTCAGGTGCCTAATCAAGCTGCACACCAGTCAACCCATTAGCATCTATGGGCCCATTATGGCACAGCTCAGGGCACTCTCCAGGTGTTCTGTATTGATTTTATCTCAGCAGTTGGTCTTCAAGGATTCTGACTGTACTATCCTTCATAGAAAGAGGTACTAAAAGGACTTTGCAAATTTGTATACCTAATCTAGTGTGGTTGTTACAGTATTCACAGGATCCAGGATTTTCAGGACTTCCAGTACTCAAAGAATCCTTGCGTGGTCTTCCTGGATTTCCAGGACTCCTAGAACCTCCAGTACTCACAGGACCCCTGCCGGGTCTTTCAGCATTTTCAAGATTCCCAGGTCCTAAAGTGCTCACGGAAACCCTGCAAGGTCTTCCAAGAATTTCCAGGACTCCGAGAACCTCCAGTACTCACAGGACCCCTGCTGGGTCTTCCAGGATTTTCAAGATTCCCAGGTCCTAAAGTGCTCACAGGAAACCTGCAAGGTCTTCCAGAATTTTCTGGATTCCTAGGACCTCCAGTACTCACAGGATCCCTGTGGGGTTTTCCAAGAATTTTCAGGATTTCTGCTAAGTCTTCCCATATTTTCAGGATTCCTAGGACCTCCAGTAATCACTGGAACCCTGCCGGGTCTTCTGGGATTTTCAGGATTCCTGCTGGATCTTCCAAAATTTGGGTTTCCCAGGACCTCCACAGGATTCCTGTGGGGTCTTCCAAGATTTTCAGGATTCCTAGGACCTTCAGTATTCACCAGATCCCTGCAGGGTCTTCCAAGATTTTCAGGATTCCCAGGACCTCCAGTATTCACCAGATCCCTGCAGGGTCTTCCAAGATTTTCAGGATTCTTAGGACCTGAGTCCATTACTCACAGGTTACCTACCAGATCTTCCAGGATTTTCAAGATTCTTAAGACTTCTAGTGCTCACAGGATCTCTGCTAGGTCTTCTGGGATTTCCAGAATTCCTAGGAAATCCATTACCTCCAGATTTTCCAGAGTTCCCAGAAATTATGTTGAACATGTCCTTCTTACAAGAAGGAGGTTTAAGCTCCAGCTTTTGAAGTGGTCAGTGCTGTGTCTTATTGGTAGCTACCTGTCACCTAAAGTGCTATTACACTAACCGGCCAGATGCTTATTTGTTGCCAACCTGGACTGACCTGGATACTCTCTTGCCTGCCACCTGCCAAGACCTCTGCCTGGACCTGACTACACTCGTTTGCTGACTGCCTAGACTTGTATTCAGATCTGACAACTCTTCTGCTCTCATCCCTTGTGAACAGTTTCCACATTGAAGCCTTCCTGTTCCAGCCTTCCCTTGGTGGGGCAATCCTCAAAGACATGACATTGTGCCAGTTTACAGGAAAGAAAACTACTACGATCTTTGGCCCATCAACCCTTGAGGGGTGCTATGGTAAGGACCAAATGTTACCTAAACCCTGAGCCCTGGGTAAGACTGCATCACCTGCCAGGAGGCACCATAACAGTGATATTATAAGAAAGGAAAGTTCCGCATCAAAGATAAGAATGTTACAATATTTGCTCATAATATGTACTTGCTTTCAAACAGAGCAGGGGCTACCAAACATTCTAAGCAAAGGGACAGTTTACTGTCCTTCCGGCTTTAGGGGGCAGACTGTGGGCAATGGGAGTAAACCATGCCCATTCATTGATTTTAATGACAGGAATTGAGCCCAATGATTGGTTTAAGTGGAAGGTATAGTGTCCCATTGATGGTGTCGGTGGAAGGAATGGTGCCCCATCATTGGTGTCAGTGGTAGAAATGTTGTCCCGTTATTGATGTCAGTTGAAAAAAAGGTGCCCCATCATTGGTATCAGTGGGAGGAATAGTGCCCCATCAATGGTGTTAGTGGGAGGAATGGTAGCCCATTATTGGTGTCAGTTGGTAGAAGCAACCCATAATTGATATAAGTGGGAGGAATAGTGCCCCATCATGGGTGTTAGTAAGATGAATTGTGTCCCATTATTGGTGGTATTTGGGGGAATAGTGTCCCATTTTTGTATCAGTGGGAGGAATAGTGCCCCATTTTTGTATCAGTGGGAGGAATGGTGTCCCATCATTGGTGTCAGTTGGTAGAAGCACCCCATTGTTGATATCAGTGGGAGAAATAGTGCCCCATCATGGTGTTAGTGAGAGGAATGGTGTCCCATTATTGGTGGTATTTGGGGGAATAGTGCCCCATTTTTGTATCAGTGGGAGGAATGGTAGCCCATTATTGCTGTCAGTTGGTAGAAGCACCCCATTGTTGATATCAGTGGGAGGAATAGTGCTCCATCATGGTGTTAGTGAGAGGAATAGTGCCCCATCATTGGTGTCAGTGGGAGGAATGGTGTCCCATTATTGGTGGTATTTGGGGGAATAGTGCCCCATTTTTGTATCAGTGGGAGGAATGGTGTCCCATCATTGGAGTCAGTGGGAGGAATAGTGCCCCATTTTTGTATCAGTGGGAGGAATGGTGTCCCATCATTGGTGTCAGTTGGTAGAAGCGCCCCATTGTTGATATCAGTGGGAGAAATAGTGCCCCATCATGGTGTTAGCATGAGGAACGGTAGCTGATTCATTTGAAGGAATAGTGCCCCGAGGGCCAAACACATGCCAGCAAAAGGACCACATCTGGCCCCCTGGCTCCAGTTTGGAGACCACTGAAATAGTGGACACATTAAAGACTATGTCAAGGAAACCTGAAGGCTGCCATTTCTAATTTCTTTTTCTGAAAATGCTAGTTGCCTGACCTTTAATATTTTAAGTCGCTGACTAATAAGTATGAAACTAAGGACTTCTGACTTTCCTGCTAAGCACCCTTGTCCCTCTGCCATATAGAACTAGAATTTTCATAAGACAGCAAACATCCCCCTAATTTCCCTGAGGAAACGTCCATCATAAAACTATGACAGATCCAAGTGGGGCTGCCCTTTCAACAAGGCTTGCTAATGGCCAGGGTAACTTTCAGTGGAACGGGTTAATTACGCAATCTCCTTTCAAGTGGCTCTATTAACCCCCTCCGCCTGTCCCATGTAGCATACATGCCATGACTCAAGTCCCCCATAATGGCCAGATGTCAAAAGAAAACTTCTGTAATCGAGGAGCTTTCAATGTAAATTAAACACTTAAACCTCAGCACATGTGTGTTTCTTAAGCAAACAATCAAATCTTTGTAAACGTAGAGAAAACACAGGATGGATTCAATTAAGCCCCTCAAGCCGTATGTGTGTGGGGGGGAGGTAGCGGTTAGAAACCTTTTCCTTTTTTTTTTTTTCCCCGAGATTAATCGCTACCCATTACAGCTAGTAAGTAACGAGACATCTCCGATAGTACAAAACTTCAATATTCAGGTCTGTGAAAAAGGAAAAAAAAAAAAAAAAAAGTTAATCTTTTTTTTTCATTTCAGAAAGAGGGCCACAGCTGGTTTTGAGCAGCTCGAACGTAAATGAAATCAAAATGAGAAGTTCTAATCCTTCCCGGGGTCTGGATTCCACCATCCTGAAATCATTACACATTAAGGGGCAGGTGCAAGCCTTGTATAAAAGGTTTCTTCTGTTTGACATAATCCCCCAAGATTCGTATCTACAACACAGAAATCAGAAATGCCTGGCTACAGATGAGCGCGTTCGAGCCCACGGACGAACAGAATGCGGTCAAGAGGTTTAAAGCATTGGCAATGGGTTCTGATGTTTGTTCTGCTGCCTCTTTGTGGCCTGTATTGAAAAGAAGACCTTTATTACAGATGACCTTCTGCTGCAATCTCCATCTGTAGCCAATATCTGCCTTTCCTTGGAGGGGGGGGGGGGGGGGGGGGGGGGGGGGGGGGGGGGGGGGGGGGGGACAGAAACCCCAGAGATGTAGGTGAGGCCGGCACATTTGGACAGTGGTTTGGTGCAGGTCCCAGGATGACCACAGCTGGGGAGGGGGGTCAGGACCAGGAAGGTAAGCATTCTATTACCCGATCAATTACATCACAGAGAAGATCTGCTTAGTTGTGTACAGATTTAGA